TTGTTCATAGAGTGGCATGATATCTTTTAGAATTTGATCGATAGTACCTTCGAATTCGGTAACATTACCCATTTCGTAGTCTTCAATCCAACGTTCCTGACATAAGAATAAAATAAAAGAATGTATTAATCATCATTATAAGAAAAATTTTTGCTGAACACGATTTGCAAGGGCTGTTCACCTTTAGAAATAAAAATTCAGATCCCCTGCGACAGACTATGGCAGATGTTTTTGGATAGATGATCATGGATCGTATATCAATAACGTCGCATTATAATAGGTGAACTACTCCCTAGTTGTATTTCTTAAGAATTAAGTAAAAGACTGGTGAATAAATATGGCACGAAGTGGATAGAATACAACAATCTTCCTATGATTAGCCATAATAGCTAGAGTGTACCTTGCTTCTTACATCTACAGGGAGTGTCTTAACAGCTTCCTGCCTGTGTATTTCTTTCAGAGCTTTCAACCTATCCTGATGCGTGGCAGACCACTAGGGCATGCCATGGTCAGTAGTGACGGAGCCAGAGAGTGGCAACCCTCAGCAGAAAATCTTTGAACTTTATCTAGAAATGTTACGGTCCTATATTACAAACAAAGAAAATACCTGCTTTTCAGTCTCAAACTTAGGCAGAGTCCTTCTCGTCTACAAATTCTGATGCCTACAGCACTACAGACGAAGTCAAATTTGTTGGTCTCTGAATGATGTCATGCCATCTTCTTTATTCTAGATCGAAATATGAGATGATGCCACTAGCTGTTGATTTTGAAGGAGTGTGGACCGTTCCTTAGTACACAGTCATTTACAGTCACATGGAACAGGTCCACTATAATCACATTGATAACAGCATTTTCGTCCTCATGCATGTAAATTACGTCAATGAACGTAAGACATGCTATTAAACTGTACTTGTGGTCACTTTTATTCTTTTACCTCTTCTTTGTATGCTTGATTATATGTTTTTTTTATCATTCCTGCATTTTGTCTGATTATGCCAAACAATGTCGATAAATTAAAAAATATTGCGACAAATCTATTGTTTCTTATGGGAAAAATATGTTTGCTAATTGATCTTTCTCTCTCTCTTTTATACAAAAACTAGTCATTATACGAACTCTATGAAATTCAATAAAATATATGACTCAAACTACAATGATCCTTCGTAATAAATGTTTCAAGTGTATTCCTGAGGTGGATCACGGTATTCTGATACAAAATATAGTACGTTGGCAGTAATAACCTATTAATCTGTACTCTTTGCGATATATTCATAGTTCATTAGAACCTACGGAGTGTACATAGTTCCAACACAAAAAGTGATGTGATGCTTTGAAACGCTCACTGGTAACTTGATACAGAAAAAAAAAGAAATATCAATCCGCCTGGTTTTCTGTGTAGATCACATCTCAAAAAAGAAATAGCCGACTCATACTTCTGATTTCTATACAATAAACTCATTCGATAAGATATATGAATATGATATATAACTTATTCAAGTCGAAAAACTTACAGCTAGATCATGATATCCATTTTCTTTAGAGTTCTTATTCAATAAATCAATATAAGGTAAATAAACTGAACGAATTTTATTTCCACATCCATCATGCCAACCTTTCCATGCCCATAATAAACGATCATAATCTTTTTCAATTTGCATTAGTCGTTCAATATATGGTGAAAGTGTATAACATTTTTTATTATCATTTAATTCGCAAACTTTTGTTGTTGAATAAATATCTTCTAATTGACCATGTAACTTAGAAGTGCGTTTTACATCATCATTATTATCACTGGTTGCACCTGTTGCTAAACGACCAAATATACGTTTTAAATCATCATCTTTTGAATATTTCATATGTTCATTGATTTTTTTTGCTATCGGTAGTACTAGACGACTAAAGGGTGATCGAATAAGATTTTGTGCAGTCATTGCTGCTTGATTTTCTTTAGTTATATTTGTTTCATAATTCCAATTGAGAAGAGCACCTACCTAAATGGAATAAACTAATTAATTAGTAAAACTATATTTCTTATCTCACTTGACTATAGCGTTTTGCTATGGGAATATACCATTTTAACCATTGCATAGCCATAGCTTCATCTGAATAATCATCAATGACTGGCATTTTTTTCATATCTTTTTCATTTAGTTTATTCCATAATTTAATATCAACATGATCATTAGGATCAACTTCAGGTTCATAATTTTCTGATTGCTTAGGATTATCATTGTGATGTTCTATATTATAATTAGTTGATATTAGTTCTTCAAGTTCATCTGTAAATTTTATTTTTAAAATCTCAATAATTTCTTCCAATTGTCTTTGATCATAATGATTTTGTTTTCGACTGGATATTGAAAATTGTGATGACGAGATAAATAAAAGAAGAATAATAAAATTCTTCATATTTTTATCAAAATCTGAAACAATGTATAAAACTATTATTTTGACTTTTCTTTCCATCATTTCAATGTTATATATATAAATGTTTATGAAAAATATTTTACTCACTGTATGTCTTTTTTTCATCGTATACAACCTTATAGAACGAAGAAAGAGGCAAACGAAGTAAACAACAAAATGTATACCATGTGTTTCAACCAATGTGCTGTTTTTGTCTTTCACCAAACAGTAAATCAACCGGTGTATATTTTTTTGGTGCCTATTACTGGTTACTGATGAACTTCAAGTCAAATAAGTATTACCGTGCTTAATCTTTCCATCGTGTCTTTGATATAGATGTGTACACTCATGCTTTGTATATTAAGGGTTGCATTCGAATTTTTTTGTGCTCGTTCTCGTCTTATTCATTGTGCATAGCTACGCATGTTAGGAGAAAAAGATTCTCTGCTACCCTTATTCGATCGACCTCTGCGTTTTTTTCTCTTTTTTCTTCTGTATTTTTTTTTCTTTCTGTCCATATGCATAATAAGAATATTATTCACATGTATCATCGTCTATTAACATGCTATGCCACAAAATTATGCCAAAATTATATAGTACGATGAATGATCAAAGTTGTTTTTTTTTGCTCGTCATACTGCCTACGTTTTTTATGAAGAAAACAAGTTTTGTTTAATGTTTTTGCTGTGATCTTTTTTATAATAATATGCTGAGGACAAATCGTATATTCGAACACTTATCATGACTTTTCTGTGGTTTTTAATCAATTGCAACCTAACACTAATCAAGTAAAGTTGATGTTGAGTAAATCATCAGAGTAGATTATACAGACGGTAATCATCACATTGGTATGGTTAAACTGTGGCGAAATCATATCACTATGAAGATATATTGGAAATATACTTATTATGAGTTGTTTTTTAAAAATTGATTGATTTCTGGGAATGATATAAAGGATGTCCCATAAGTTCTGGACATTAAAGAATATTAGTTTATATGTAAACAAGGAGTGATCTCTTCCCAATTATATTTATATGAACGTCGAATACTTACGACAATGTTTTAAATCGCATATTATTCGATGACATGATCTCTTTTAATCATAATAATATGAATAAAAAAACAACCTGGTAATTAAAGTGTGAGTATAGAAAGTAGCTACATTCATAGCCTAAATATTACATCTCACTTTGTATAATTGTATTATGTTAAATATAATGAAATCATAGTTCTGGGAGTGTTGATATGAGTGACAATTAAAAGAAGATACATGCTTACCCACACCTCAAGTCGAAATTGATTTAATTTATGATGATGATCAGGTTCTTTTTTTCTCGGAAATAAAACGTATAAATTAATTTGACTCAGTTTTATTTCTAGTGTGTTGTTTTTCATAATATGCCTAAACAAGCATCAACACATTTTTTAGTTATACCAAAAGAACCTATTACGCAATTATCAGCAGCTACACCATCAAATAAACAAGCAGATCAAAATATTTTAAGATCATTTGAAGTTTTCGGTTGTTTTTTTTTGGTCACTCTGACATTTATTAGTTGTTGCTACTCAAGTTGCTAAAAAAACTAGGTCTTAATGAAGATAGCTAGTTTTATTTTTATGTCTACCAAAGAAAAACATACTTTATTCATAGTGGTTTTCGTATATATCGTTTAGTATTGAATCTAGCATTAAAAAATGACTGTTTTTTTTTCGTAGATTTTCAGCTAATAAAAACTCTCAAACGATTTCTGAAATAATGAACAATATATTTAAAAAAATCAACGTGCGTATCATAGAACTTTTAAATAGATTTATGAGTTTATCTTAGAGTGTAATGGCATCTATTCTCTATTGACAATACAGTGTCTTAAGGAAATATTTAACAAACAAGTATCAAAAATAGTTTATTTGACAAGTCAAAATTCTCTGTGAACTATCATTCTATACATTTAATTCTTTGTTTTGAGTGAAAGAATGTGCCAGGATTAAAGCTCATGGTTTCCAAGATTTTCAGACTTGGTCCA